TATATATATATATATATATATATATATATATATATATATATATATGGGCTGGGGTTGTGGTGCAGTGGTAGAGTGCTTGCCTAGCATGCGTAAGGCACTGGGTTCAATCCTCAGCACCATATAAATGTAAAATAAAGATATTGTGTTCACCTAAAACTTAAGAATATTTAAAAATATATATATATGTATACCATAATGAATTTCATATATATTTTTATATAAAGTTTCCATTTAAAAAACAGTAAATAAATAGGAAGATCAAGAGTTGAATAGAGGAAGGAGAACCAGGGTTTGGGAAAGAAGGAGACTCTTCTTTCCAGTTGTTCAGCTGGATATCGATTTGTAAGAAAGAAAGAGAGAGAAGGAAGGATGGAAGGAAAGAAAGAAAATAAAAATAAAAAACAAACCTTCATGGGCTGGGGATGTGGCTCAAGCAGTAGCGTGCTTGCCTGGCATCTGCAGGGTGCTGAGTTTGATCCTCAACACCACATAAAAATAAAATAAAGATATTGTGTCCACCTCAAACTAAAATAAATATTTAAAAAAACCCTTCAATCCATACCTCCTACCATATTTAATAAATATAAAAACTCTACAAGAAAACTTTTAAGAATGGTCTTTGTGACTTTTTGTAAGGCAAACTTCCGTTAGCTATAACTCTAAATGCTTGGTCCAGTAAAGCCATCTGAGCCTGGCATTTGCTTTGTTGGAAAATTTCTTTTTTTTTTAATAGAGGGATTAAAAAATATTTTTAGTTGTAGATGGACACAGTAACTTTATTTTGTTTATTTAGTTTTTTTATGTGGTGCTGGGGATTAAACCCAGGGCCTCACACATGCTAGGCTCTGAGCTACAACCCCAGTACCTCCCTGCTCCCATTTTTTTTAATTGGTCCTAGGGATTGACCCCCAGGTGTGCTTAACCACTGAGCTACATCCCTAGCCCTCTTTATTTTTTTATTTTGAGAGAAGATCTAAGTTGCTTAGGGCCTCACTAAGTTGCTGAGGCTGGCATTGAAATTGTGATCCTTCTGCCTCATCCTCCCAAATTGCTAGGATTACAGGTGTGCATCACCATGCCTGGCTTTATAGTTGAATTTAAGACTTGTCCTTTATCTTTGGTTTTCAGTGGTTTGAATGTGATCATCTGGGTAGGGGTGTGTGTTTCTGTGTGTGTGTGTGTGTGTGTTTTCATCCTACATGGGATTCTTTGAGCTTCCTTGCATCTTCAATTTGATGTCTTTCATTAGTTTAGTAAATTTCTCAGTTGCTAACTCATCAGATACTGTTTCTTCCAATTCTCCTTGTCTCATCTCTTTCTAGGATTTTAGGTACATGTATGTTAGAGCATTTGGTATTGTCCCACAGTTTTTAGGTGCTCTGTTCTGATTTACTAGTTTGTTTTTCACTCTTTTTTCTTCTTTGTATTTAGTTTGGTGATTTCTGTTGACCTATTTGCAAGTTTATTCTTTTTCTTAACTATGTCAAGTACATAGTTAGAAAGACATTCTTCATCTCTGTTACCATGTTTCTTTATTTCTGGTATTTCCATTTTACTTTTTCTTATACTTTCCATCTCTCTGCTAAAATTCCCCAACTATTCATGCATGTTGTCCACCTCTTCTGTAAGAGTATTTTATGTAACAATCATAGCAGTTTTCAGTCTCTCACAGTTCTACTCTCTGGGTAATCATTCATTCTTATCTGTTGATTTCTTCAACTATGGTGCGCTCAATCTTGAGTAGTGTTGAGAAGTGGTGCATGGAGCATGGTCGAAAGCTGATCCATGGTTGCAAGCTGATCCATACTCATATGTATACATAATTTGGTGTGATCAGTTTCATTCCAGAGTTGAAATTGAGGCTGTTGCATTAGTGTAGGTGAGAGAGGATGGTGGCTGAATCGGGGTGACAATCATGGGGAGGGAGAGTTCATAATGGATCTGAGAGAGCTTTGGGAGGTATGATCCATAAAACTTGGTGATTTATATTTTGTGGTTGGTAGGATGTAGGGAAGAATCCAATGGGATTCTCAGGTCTCTGACTTTCAGCTACAACAACTTCATGGTTTTGTATTTGTATATTTAACCCTTTAGAATAGCAGAATAGCAGCTTAAGGGGCTGGGGGTGTAGCTCTATGGTAGAGTGCTTGCTTAGTGTGTGCAAGGTCCTATTTTGATCCCCATCGTCACTCACACACACATACACACACACACAGGATAGCAGCTTACACATAATGAATAGTGTTTTAGTCAGTTTTTTTGATACTGTAATGAAAGGATCCAACTAGAACAACTATAGAGGAGGAAAAGTTTATTTGGGGGCTCAGAGTTTCAGAGGTCTCAATCCACAGGTAGCAGGCTCCATTCCTTGGGGCTCTAGTGAGGCACAACATCATGGTGAAAGAGCGTAGTGGAGGAAAGCAGCTCACATGATGATCAGAAAGCAGAGAAAAAGAGAGAGAGAGAGAGAGAGAGAGAGAGATACATTCCACTTGCCAGATAGAAATATATTCCCCAAAGCTATGCCTCCAATGCCCACCTCCTTCAGCCACACCCCACTTGCCTTCAGTATTCACTCAATTAATCCCATCATGCGATTAATTTATTAATTGGGTTAAGGCTTTCATGACTGTCATTTCTTCTTTGAAATTTCTTGCATTGTTTCACACATGCACTTTTGGGGGACACCTCACATCCAAACCATAACAAATACCATGAGAGTGTTTAATCTAAATTTAAGTTCATATTATATGTTGAATTTCATTTATTCTGATATTCTCAATTTCTGAAACTTATGACAACATTAAGAATATATTTGCCTCAAAATCAGGTATGTTTTCATAATGGGATAAAAGAATCTTAAGAATTGCCCTCCAGAGTTGCTTCATTACTTATATTATTTGTGTCCACTTCATACGACCTATTAATGCATGCTTTCTTTCTACCAGTACTGTGATAGGCCCTGGGTAATATCAGTGAACAAGAGAGGTGTTATTTCTTCCCTAACACAACTTGCCTTTTGGTGACAAAGTTTATATTCTTATATTAAAATCTTTTTGTTAACAAGAATGATGGCATTGTTATTTTCTTAGATGGGGAAATATATAGTGGAATGTATATATTTATAAGTGTATAAAGTTGAGAGAGGAGATGAATCAAGGTATAAGTAATTTTAAGTTTGTGGTACAGGTAACATTAAACTTGAGATTTTCAAATGCATACATAATATAGATAGTTGAATATATGGATGTGGGAGAGAGAGAATTAATGTGGTAATTAATTCTGGAAAAATGGATTTGGAATCATTGGTCTATAGCAGGTTATTAAAACCATGGCGTGGATAGGTCTTTAAAGTAGAGAAAGTAGGAAGAGGGGCAAGAAGAAGGGAACTGAGACCGATTGCTAAGAATTATTAACATTTAAGAAGAAGAAACACCAGGAAAAGTTCCAAAGAAGTAGCAGAGATTAGGAAGGCTGGATGCAGTGACTGCAGGAGGCCGAGGTAAGAGAATCTCAAGTTCAATACCAGCCACAGCAATTTAGTGAGACCCTGTCTCAAAATCAAAAAGAAAAAGAGCTAGGGATGTGGCTCATGGATAAAGCTGCCTTGGGTTGTTTAATGTCCAGTACTGGAAAAAAAAAAAAAAAGTTTAGGAGAAAACCCTGGAGAGCATTTATGTTTTGTTAGTCAGAATTCCATTACTGTAACACATACCTGAGATAATAAATTTATAAAGAAAAAAGATTTATTTTGATTCACAGTTTTGGAGGTTACAGTCCATGGTCAGTTGGCCCCATAGCTTTTGGGCTTGTGGCTACATAGTGCCTCGTGACAGATAGCATGTGGCTGAGCAGAACTGTTCACCTCATGACTGGGATGCAAAAGTTGAGAGAGAAAGAGACTAGGGTCCCACAGCACCTTTGAAGGCACATACACAGTGACCTAAAACCTAACAGTAAGCCTACCTCTTAGAGTTTCCATCCCCGTAATAGTGCCAAGATGGAGAACCAAGCCTTTAACCCTTTGGCCTCTGAGGGATATTCTAGATCCAGACTGTAGCAGCATAGAATCAAGAATGTCAGGAGAGAGAGTCAGGAGAGGAGGGCTTGGCCCCAGTGTCAAGTGCTGCCTAGATACCACACTACACAGGACTGAAAAGGATCCTCTGGATTTATGCACCGTAGAAATGGTTAGTGACTTCAGTGAGAGAAGTTTCAACTGAGTGGTCGGGAGAGAAGCCAGAATGCAGCAAGCACAGCAAGCTTGTGATGAAAAGAAGGTGCAGAATCTGCTTGAGAAGTTTGACTGTGACAAAAGGAAGAAAAGGAAGGAAGGAAGGAAGGAAGGGAGGGAGGAGAAGGAGACTCAAAATGATATTTAAAACAGATAGAAAACAAACAAAAATTCCGTGTCTTTATAAAGGGACTTGAGAGGGCTGGGGTTGTGGCCCAGCGGTAGAGTGCTCATATAGCATGTGTGAGGCACTAGGTTCGATCCTCAGCACCTCATAAAAATAAATAAACAAAATAGAGATATTGTGTCCAACTGCAACTAAAAAATAAATATTAAAAAAAATAAAAGGACTTGAGAGCCACGGTGGCACATGTCTGTAGTCCTAGCTACTGAGGAGGCTGAGACTGGAGGATTAGTTGAGCCCAAGAGTTCAAGACCAGCCTGATAACAAAGCAAAATACCAACACACACACACACACACACACACACCAGGTGGGGAGGGCTGAAGAGAGCTATATAAAAAGCCACATGTGCTGGTCTTCAGGTAGTATCATTTTGAGTGATTTATTTTTAAAAACCTTCAAGTCTCAACCTGTGTTGTAATCTTTCCATCCTTCCTCAGTTCTTTTATGTTAGCATCTATTCTCATTCCTCTGTTCATCCTCTTCCCTGGTTTCTATGTATAGTTTTCTATTCTGTTAGATACAGCATCCTCATCGTCTGACCTTTTATTAGTATAATGCCTTTTATTAGTCATTCAAATATGTTTTTCCCCCATATTTTTATTGGTGCATTATAATTATACATGGTAGTGGGATTCCTTGCTACACATTTATACATGTACCTGATATACATATATGTTTTTAATAAGCATCGTTTTAATTTTGCCTTAGCAGTTTTTGTTTCCTCAACACAGAAATCACACACATTTTTTATTTTTATTTATTTCAGATTCTGAATCTATGCCTGAAACTAAAGAGCTTTTTTCAAAGCAGGAAGTTTATGAAGAGGAATCACCTGAAAGGGAACTGGTAATAGAAAGACTTGAAAAGGATGATTCCTGGGGCTCCACATTGTTAGAAGCCTGGGAATGTGAACACTCATTAGAAAGGCATCCAGGAAATCTGAAGAAAGATTTAAGGCCAGTCATAATCAAACGTAAGAGAAAAACTACAGAGCATTATCATGAAATTGGGGAGAGCTCCAACCCAATTAAACATCAGAAAGTTTACCGGGCGAAAAAGCGATGGGAATGCAATGTATGTGGGAAGTGCTTCAGCTACTGCTCAGCCTTTGTATTACATCAGAGGATTCATACTGGAGAGAAGCCCTATGAGTGTAGTGAGTGTGGAAAGGCCTTTAGCCGGAGCTCATCACTTATTCAGCACCAGAGGACTCACACTGGAGAGAAGCCTTATGAGTGCAGTGAATGTGGGAAAGCCTTCAGTCACCGGTCTGCCCTTATTCAACATCACATCATTCACACTGGAGAAAAGCCCTATGAGTGCAATGAGTGTGGGAAGGCCTTCAACCAAAGCACATACCTCATTCAGCACCACAGAATACACACTGGCGAGAAACCCTACAAGTGTAAGGAATGTGGAAAAGCTTTCAATGACACCTCTTCCCTCATTAAACATCAAAGGGTTCATACTGGAGAAAAACCCTATGACTGTAAAGAGTGTGGGAAAGCCTTCAGTGACCGGTCAGGTCTTATTCAACATCAGAGAACTCATACAGGGGAAAAGCCATATGAATGTAGTGAATGTGGAAAAGCATTTAGTTATTGCTCAGCTCTCATTCAACACCAAGGAACACACACTGGGGAGAAACCTTACAAATGTATCGAGTGTGGGAAAGCTTTCAGTGACCGGTCTGCTCTTGTGAGACATCAGAGAATTCATACTGGAGAGAGACCTTACAAATGTCAAGAATGTGAGAAAGCCTTCAGCCAGAGCTCATCCCTTACAAAGCACCTGAGAACACACACTGGAGAGAAACCATATAAATGCAACAACTGTGAGAAAGCCTTCAGCCAGAGTTCATCTCTTATTCAACACCAGAAAATTCACACAGGAGAAAAGTCCTACAAATGTAAGAAATGTGAGAAAACCTTCAGTGTCCGTTCAGCCTTCCATCAACATAAAAAAATTCATGATGGATAGAATGTACTAAATTCACAAAACATTCATTTTCTCCTGATTGTATAGATTTGTTTAAAATATTCTAGGGCATATTAAAAAACATAATGAGGCTTCTCTGGAGGCTGAGGCAGGAGGATCACGAATTTGGGGTGAGCCTCAGAAATTTAGCAAGAGACCCTAAGTCAAAATTTTAAAAAGGGATAGAGTTGTAGATTAGTGGTAGAGTGCTGTTGGGTTCAATCCTCAGTACCACAAACGAACAAAATACCAAAAAAAAAAAAAAAAAATCAAAGAAAACAAACAAGGGCTGTGTTGCATAGTCACTAGCCCTCTTCCTTGAAATGTTGCTATGTACGGAAAAGACTAAGAAGCAGTAAATATGAATATCTATGATCTTTTTAAAGAACACTATTAGAGGAGCTGGGGATATAGCTCAGTTGGTAGAGTGCTTGCCTTGCATGTACAAGGTCCTGGGTTCAATCCCTGGCACCACACACACACACATACACACACAGCCATTAGAAAATGGAACATCTGAGCATGAGATGAATGCCGTTACCTAGAAAGAGGACAGTGATTAGGTGGCAACAAGGCCAAGGTGTTTTTGGTACAGTTGGAGGATTGTTGGTTTTGCTGAGGCAGGGGACACATGAAGTTGTGAAAAGCTGAAGATACTTCCCATTAAAATTGTGGGGCATGCCAGGCATCTGTTAACCTAGCCATTTGGGAGGCTGACACCTCAGGAAGGAAGACCATGAGTTCAAGGCCAGCCTCAGCAACTTAGCAAGGCTGTGTGTCAAAATAAAAAAGGGTTGGGAAGTAGCTTAGGTGTAGAGTGCCCCAGTACCAAAAAAAAAAAAAAAAAAAAAAGTAAATGCTGGGGATGTGGCTCAGTGGTTGAGCACTCCTGAGTTCAATTCCTGGTACCCCCCACCTCCAAAAAAAGCAGATGGAAAAATCCTTACAAAAATTTGGAAAAGTGAAATTGCATGAGAAGTTTTAAAAGATACCTGATTTCCACCTCCAGAGATGCAAATGAAACCTGATATGGTAGTACAACCTGGGCACCAGGAATTTTTAAACTCCTCAGGTAATTCCAGTAAATAGCCAAAATTAAGAACCATTGATTTAGACTGTGCACAAGGATTAGCTGCAGCTGAACAGATAACACTCAACATAAGCTCTTAAGATTCTTTTGCCTCCTTGTTTCTGTTTTTGCTTATTACATAACATCTCTGACCTGGTTTTTTGATCCCGTTACTTGGATCTTTTTTGTTCTGACTTTACACGGACTGACCTACTTGAAACTAACTTTGTTTCTGCCCCGGACTGACTATCGCCAATATGCTCCTTCAAACCTGTTTATAGCCCTCAACCACATCTGTGTATCAAATTGGGCTTGCTACACATGATCTAGTGGTGGCAAATGTTAACCATGAAAAACAGCTTAGAGGGAGACCTACAAACTAGAAATCAGTAAAGAAGACAAAGTGACTGGAAGAGACTTTTGGAGTTAAAAATTTGATTCCAGCTACATAGTTTTTGTTGTAGCATTCCATGAAATTATAATAAAATTTAGTTGTGTACACAAATGAATATAGGATTTCAAGGAAGGCATGTGGTAGGAAGGGCAAATCAAGAAAACAATGGAGCTAGACATGATGGTGCATTCCTGTAATCCCTGTGGCTAGGGAGGATTGCAAGTTCAAAGCCAGCCTTAGCAACTTAGGGAGACCCTAAACAACTGAGTGAGAACTTCTCTCTAAATAAAATACAAAATAGGGCCTGGGATGTGGCTCAGTGGTTGAGTACCCCTGAGTTCAATCCCCAGCACGAAAAAAATGAGAAGAAAAAAATGAAAAAGGTCAACATCTATTTTTATAATCTTACAGGAATGAGCAAAATCTTACTTCAAATTGATTTACTCACGCAGCTGCTCTGCTAGACACGGGGGAGTGGAGTAATTTTTTTTTTTTTTTTTTTTTTTTTGCGTGGCTCCTACACTCAGGGAACTTGCAGTTGGTTTCATTGTAAACCTACCATCATATTCCAACATCAGAGGGTGTGCTGGGTCCAGCGTTCTGTCTCCCATGGTTTCTCTGCAGTGCAGGAAATTCTTTTTAAGCAGAATGTTTTTCTTCAACAATACTCATTATGTTCTCATTATTCCTTAACAGGACTGGGGATATAGCTTAGTTGGTAGAGTGCTTGCCTCACATGCACAAGGCCCAGGGTTCAATTCCCCAGCACCACAAAAAAAAAAAAAAAAAAAATCAAGCCATAACAGTATAAGAGCAGACCCTGGAGTCCATAGACCTTAGTAAACCATGATGGTTCTATAACTTATATAGTTAGCATCATAATACTGTCAATTTAGGTAATAGATGGAAGTGTGTGTTTTGAAGGAGAATGATGAAATCCAGTACAGTGTAGATAGTGACGTGAGTATTAAAGAATTATCTCAATTGAAAAAGTTCTAATTTGGTAGAAGCCTCAAGGTAGGTGTGGAGGGTAACCTTAGTATTCTTCCACTGAAGCCCTTGGGGTGATTTTTATCTGTCCTAGATTATTTCATCATGTTTATTTTCCCTTAGATCCTCAAAGATTCAGCTTGCTTTCCTTTTTTAAAATTTGTTCTAATTAGTTATTCATGACAGTAGAATGCATTTTGATGCATCATATGTATATGGAGCATAATTTCTCATTCTTCTGGTTGTACATGATGCAGAATCACATAGGTCATGTAGTCATATGTTGCTTTTCTTTATACAGCCATCTTCTGGGAAGGTTTCCTTCCTCCATTGGAGTAGAATGATACCACCTTAGCTCCTCTACTCTCTTTGCTAACTGATTGTCAAAATAACTATGCAGGCCCCTTTTAAGTTTTATGGCTAAGTGGGAAAACAGTGTATGTTTTGTTTTATTTTGGGTACTGGAGACTGAACACAAGGGTGCTCAACCACTGAGCCACATCCCCAGCCTTTTTTACATTTTACTTAGAGACAGGGTCCCACTAAGTTGCTCAGGGCCTAGCTAAGTTGCTGAGGCAGTCTTTGAACTCATGATCTTCTGCTTTAGCCTTCTGAGTTGCTGGGATTATAGGCATGTGCCACTGTACCCGTCTTGTTAGTTTGTTTTAACAGTATCTTAGGTTCTTTAATGTACATGGTAATATGGCTCAAAACTGCAAAGAGCTTGGGGTTCCTATCATGAGGCCTGGACTAAACTGAGATCGACTCCAGAATGGACTGGTGGGATTCTCAGCTTCTGAGAGAAGTGCAAAAAGGGAAGCAAAATTGTTTAGCAGATGTTGTGCATTGCCTGGAAATGTCAGTTGCCTTTTTAAAAAAATTTTATTCTTTAGTACTTCAGACTAAACCGAGAGCCACTCCACCACTGAGCTACATCTTTAGCCTTTTTTATTTTGAGACAAGGTCTCACTGAATTGCTGAGGCTGGCCTCAGGCTTGCAATCCTCCTGTCCCAGCCTCCTGAGTTGCTGGAATTACAGGTGTACACCAGCACACCTGTCTGTCTCTCTTTTTTCTTTTCAGTGGTACTGGAGAACCCAGGGGTGCTCCATCACTGAACCACATTCCCAGCCCGTTTTGATTTTCATTTTGAGATAGGGTTTCATTAAATTGCCCAGTTTGGCCTTTAACTCATGATCTTCTTCCTTCAGCCTTGTGAGCTGCTGGGAGTATGGGTGTTTGCCACTATGCCTGACTTATCAGCTGCCTTTCTATACTCATTTAAAATGTCTTCATATGCCAAGAATATTCACATTCTCTAAAAGGGGAAGTTACGGCTCCAAGGGTTCTACAGTTCACATAAGATTGCATAGCTAGTAAATGACAAGATAAGATTGGCTCCCAGGCTTGACTCTTCTCATTCCCTTTGCAGGATGGATTATCTGGCTTCCCTGATTATGCCCAGAGCTACCTCCATGCCATGGAAGCCCCTAGCTGGCAAAGATATCGATAACTTCTGATCAGGACCATGAAAATTATTATATTATATTATATTATAGGTGACAGAATTTAAGTATCAATTGGTCAAGGCTAAGAAAACAACCTGAGCAAATATAAACACCAGAAATAGAAATTGAAAAACCAAGCGTAGTTTATCTAGAGGCAAAGCAAATGGAATGTCAGTGTCTATGTCAATGGAATGTGGACCTCATAGTCTTTTAGAAGAAATCTCTGCTTGGAATATAAGGGCAACAACAGAAGATAAATGCCAGATTGAGGCAGATTTGGCCTTTGATAGCATACTAGGAAATTAGAAGAATACAAACAGAAATGTTAATACAATATACAGGGGATCTGGTAGCGTTGGTCCATAGTATCAGGGAGCTCCTAGATATCCCTAGGCACTTTGCGTTAAGAGATGAGGGCGCGAGGGTTACAATGTCAGCCACTGAGAGGCTGGTCTGAAACACAGGGTAATAATGACAGCCAGAATATATCAACAGCTTACTGTGTACCCAATACCATTGTACCACTTCACGTATGTAAACTCATTTATTCTCACAAAAATATACAAGTTTTCTGGGTGCAGTGCCATACACCTGTAATCCCAGTAGCTTGGGAGGCCGAGGCATGAGGATCTTGAGTTCAAGTCCAGTCTCAGCAACTTAGCAAGACCCTAAGCAATTCAGTGAGACCCTGGCTATAAATAAAATGTCAAAACAGCTGGGAATGTGGTTCAGTGGTGAAAGTACCCCTGGGTTCAATCCCTGGTACCAAAAAAATTTACAAATTAGATACCTTTATCACCTTTATTTTACAGATGAAGAAATTGAGGCTGACATGCAAAACTTGTTTTGTATGGACATATACAAAAGTTGATTGTTCATAGAATGGCTAAGACTTATAAAAATAGTATAGAAATGAAGAAAGAGACAACTCATGTAGATTTCTTATATTTTCTTTCCAGCTGTTTGTTCCACAGAACATCGGGATCATTGTACTGTTGTAGTGATGATGATTTTCTGTGTGTGGCAGGGAGGATATATAGTGT